GAGGCTAGCCCAGTTAACATGGCGGCAATAGCATCATTAAGGGTAAGCATGATTTGAGGTTGACAACCTTTGTGCAGCGATGTAAAAGCGTTCGGCAAAGGCAATGTTTGATTCACCTTCATACATGATAAGGCGCTTAAAGGCCTGTTTTCCCTGTGAAGACTTTGCTTTGATCTGAATTTAGCTAAAAGAGCCTTCTTCACCTCTGACCAGGTGTACTCAGGGTTCAGGTTGGGTACTATCATCTCTTGTGCTAAGCGGCTTGAATAAGGAAGGATGTGATGAACTTTTTGCTTGTCAGTTTTACCATCCATGGCAGCTTCATAGACTTACAAAAAGGTATCAATGCTTCCTTCACCATAGTTGTATTTGTCCTTAAAGGGGAGTTTGAAAGGGCGCTGCTCAAGCTCCTCAAGGCGGGACAAAGCGCTTTCAAGTTGCTTTTCAAGAGCAACTATTTTTGGTGTACAGGGATCCACTGTAGTGAGCACCATTTTGTAGTAATCCAGCTTAATTATGCTCTCTTGGTGCTATGCCGCTGGATCCCATAAAGTATTTTTATTAGAATAAAAAAATAAAGAACTATAAAAATTGGGTTTTATAGTTTTCAATATGAGTGATGGGGTAAAATGAGAGGTGATCCCTTCCCAATATTTGGCAATTAGTATTTATGCAGATTTTGAAGGTCATGGAATTTGAGGATAGTTTATGAATAGCTGTGATGCATTCCAAATTGAGAAATATGAGATACTCTCATATCAGATCGTGGGAGAGGTAAGTTATTGTTTTGGAAATTGATCATCGGAGTTTTGGGGTAGGATGTACCCATGTGGCAAGGTTTTGATTTATTGCAACTAATTACTGCTAGAGAGAATTACTTTTCACCTTGGGGGCCTCAGCCACGCCTATAAAAGGGGGCGGCCCCATGTAGGTGTTGTGAAAGACTTGGTGATGGTTGGAGGAGTACCTTACGCTGGTTACTCTAAAGTCTGTCATGCAATCAGCAAAGTCCAATCATTTTATTTTACCAATAGTACCCGTGCAGGTTTTGAACTGGTGTTACCCCAGTTAATAGGGTTCCACTGAGAATTGGCCAGGGTCTTTTGGCCAATATTGTTGATAACTTCATTAAAATTGCTCTTAATAGCATTGGAAAATTACAAAAGGCTGACATTTCCTTTTTTATGAACTTGACATAGGACATTCTCATTTTTAAGCTGCAAAAGCAAATGTCCAACACTTTTTATTATATCTTTAATTTGTTCAGAGTACCAATGATCCTCACATTGTCCATCCGTTGTTTGGTGGGTTTTACCTGTGTGACCCTTACAGCATATCCCAACAGTATTGCAAAAAAATATACACTATCAAAAGTTAATTGAAACGCTGATTCAGAAGTATCATTATTATTTTTTATTTATTTGAGGCAAGCCGACCAGGGGACGGACATTACCGAAATGGAGAAAGAAAGTATCGACATGAAACCTGAGCAGGGTCAACTCTGTCATAGAAAGTTTTTTTTCACCTCCAGATCGGGACTCAGATTTTTCTGGTTACATCATGGGTAAGGTTTTCGTGTTATTATACCTACTAACTGCCAATAGCTTCCTTCGGCTGGCACCCCGATTGATGTGCGAAGGGCGGGAATCGAACCCGCAACCTTCAGGTTGGTAGCCATACACCCTATCGACTCGCCTTCCACCCCCTAAGTATCGTTATTATTTAAGAGTTCAAAACCCATATAAATAGGCAGTTGAAAATAGTGCTGCTAATGCTGTACTATTGAACCTTTGTCTAATTCCATATCCCCTTGTCTAGCTATATAAACTCAGCACACTGCTGATGGTAGATTGTTAGAATAATATCATTATTTTCACAATAGAAATTTAATTGAAAAATTTATGTCTTTACTTTTTATAAATATAAAACTTTGCCCTTCATTAATTTGTGACCTTTGGAGGGGCCTTCCATCTTTAATTAAATTGTGGTATTATCAATGGCCAAAATGTTGATTGTATGGTCTACCAAAGGAGATAGAACACAAATTAGACAAGAAATAATCAATCATGAAATATTTCTCCACCCAAAAGTTATCTTTCCAGCCCATCCTATCCCAAAAGTATAGGTGTAGTGATGGCTTGCTGTTTGTAGATCTTACTTTACGTGCTGAGGCATCCTAACCTGAAGCATAATCTTCTCTTGACACGTTGCTCTCCTAACAAGATAACCCAAATATAAAACACTTTGTTCATGTTTACTTCAAGTCCTTAGTGGTTAGGTACATCCCTTTAACTAACAAATCATGGTTGCTCAATTCAAACTCCCCTGATGTGTGGGTCGTGAGAGTCTCTGTTTTAAGCCATCAATTAACTTTTTTTCATCATATATTACATCTTTGATAGTGGTTACAATTAGAGACAAACCAAGCAAGAGTTGCTATGATGAAATCGTTAATATACCCCCATAATCCTGGAAAAACGGATCATTTGAACCACATTCCCTACCAGTTGTACTTCTCTTAGTCAAATCACATACTAATATGCCCTAGATTTAAATTATCCTGTGAATATCATTAAATAGACATCAAGGATGGTAATAATCTTGGTAGATCTAAAAAGCACTAGCAGCTTCATCCTCCAAAATTTTATCAATGAAACAGAGTGAAGCAAAGCACCACGTGGGCCCAGTCTAAGTGATATTTATAATGCTCTCTTTCAATCTGACCTTTCAGATTCATAGTCAGCTTTTTCTAATTGATCGTGAAGCAGCAATTACAGTCCCATTTTTAGCAATAACATCAAAAGCTGCAATACTCTGGCAGATGTAGAATCAGGGCTAAGTGCTTGTTTCTTTGATAGCTTATACAAATTTCAATGCTTTTATTTCTTCTTCACTATATGCATTATAGTTGGAAGTATCCTAGTTCCAACAAATACCCTGGTTGTAATTGGGGCCACTGTACATTTCTTTGATCTGCAAGATGTTTAGGCCATTGATATTGACGTTACAACTTGGTCACCTGTTATGGGTGCTTCATATTTAAACCATCTCTTTGTTGTCAAATATCAGCTTAAACAGAATAGTTTACACATTAAAACAGGTGTCCTATTGGCCTGGAAACTGGAAAAATACTAGTAAAACAATGTTATTGTGATAATGTTTTATTTTGATCATTAAAACACACTGTAGACTATCAGTTTTGGGATGGTTTTGGGTTTTTCTGGTGTGACGTTCCTTCAGTCATTCTAGTAGTGGCAGCAACTAATAAATTAAGACATCTTTCAAAATGCCAATCCTTCACTATAATTATACTAAAATTCTACCTTTATATTAGTACTAGAGACCTGGTAACTAAATGTACTTAGAAATCTTGAGTCATTTGCATATTTGTTCCAGAAAGGCAGAGAGAGTAATGTTAGTAATGAAACACTAAAAAATGACTAATGATTATACTAACTGAACAGCAACAGTTTTATACCAACGTTGGGTCAAGGTGAAGTATAATATATATAAGTGATTTGAGTTTACATGGTTACTGTGACAAAGTGCACAATAATAGTTGAGGATTTGTGGTTTACGCCATCAGGGTGGCAAAAAATCAACTGTAACTTTGATAATATCTATAAGAAGTGATGGTGCCCAATAACCATAGTTTATTATAGTGACTTGAGATATAGCATATCAGCGTTAGCATAAAAGCAAATGAAGTCTCAAGCTAGAAAGTAGTTTTGTATCAATAAAGTAAATAAATAGTTTGTTACTAAGTTGATAGTAGAAAATCTCAGCATTTCCTGCACTAGAACAAACATTAGAGACAAAAAAGTGTGATCAATTCAGTCATTAGGATTAAAGTCCATCAGTCTGGTGCAGAGAGAATACTATAATGAATATATCATACATGTGATATAAAATATAACTATTCATTGATTCATTTAGTAAAAAACTCTTAAAAGTTTTCTCTAGGGTCTTTTAGGGACATTTTTTATTTACATTCCTTGTTCCCATGAGATCTATAACTATCATTATAGATTTCCATATCTCCCATGGCTACCCAGATTAGTGATATAAAATCTTTTGTATTCTTATCCAGTTGTTTGCTTTATTTACCAGTTGAATTAATGGTATGGGTTTACATGTTTTTTGGTTTGTTAATACAATTATATTGTATCCTGGAACCTAAAAACATGTGGTCTCACCATAATTATCTAAACTACATCAGATGCCGGCAGAACACAAAATGAAGAGTATGTTTTGGTGTTGCTATAAGCTAATAAAATAATAATGAATTTTTTTTCAATAGCACCTTGATCTCCCCATGGTTAAGATAAATAAAAATATGTGCCATAACAGGATCCATTTTTGGATTACAGCTATGAGATGAAAACATTGTAAAACTATCAGAAACCATAAATCAATAGTTGTAACCATTAGGGATTGGTGGCTAGGTGTGCTAATAAAACTCTGCCCAGCGTGCAATGGTATTATGTCTAATTCTACAATTTCAGTTGCAATTTTATGGTGTGATGGTAGTTTTGTAATATCTAAGTGGGATTATGACTTCAACATACACAAGTTTGAAAAATAAGGGAGGGTGAGTCAGATACTAGGTTTCCTTCTTAAAGTATAGTAAAGTTTTTGTCCTACTATCTCCAATGTATCTTGATCAAAGTTGTTTTATTTAGATTCCCTCATTAAAGAAGTATCAATTGGCTTTCACAACTTTTATTGTGTAAAACATGGCAGGTGCAGACACCAAGAGGGTATTAACCTGCTTTGGCAATGAGTCATAATCTCCTAGTGATGTAGTAGTATTAGCACCCACAATTCCATATTTCTTGTATTGTCAAGATCAGATACAATCTAAGTTTTGTCAATAGCTTAGATATAACTATGTTGATGAGTGCGCTGCTGTCTACAATTGACAAACTTTAAGGCTGTTACACTGATAGCAATGCTTTTAGGAACTCCATACTTTTATTTATATAAAAAAAGAAGTTATGTTCCCCTGCAGGGAATCAAACTCTGGCCACCATAGTGAGAGCGTGGTATCCTAGCCATTGGACCACATTTTCTTTTTTTTTAAAAGATTCAGCAGTAGCAGGAACCACCTTGCATGACAACCACCCAAATCTTCCTTTTTTAACTCCATATCATCAATTAATTGATATAAAGAGGGATGGAGGAAATTATGTTCGTCCTAGCCAGAACAGGTTTTGAACCTGTTACAGCATTTTTACCCCACCTTAGCTTGTGGTTACAGGTGTGCGCAACTACACCCGGTTGCCATTGGACCACAAGGGAGTAATGATATTAATATAACCAAATATAGTTGTGAACACCTGTGACCACAAGAAAGTTAGGGTAAAAATACCAGACAGGCTTGAAACCTGTTCTTGCAGGACAAACATTGTTTACTACATCCCCTCCTATCATTATTCAAGTAAAGATACAGAGATAAAAAAAGGAAGATTTTGGTGGTTAACATGCAGCATGGTTCCTGCTACTGTTGAATTTTTAAGAAACACTGATATCAACATAGGTACACTTAGCATTGTAATTATTAACACCATTTGCCCATATGTATGGCAAATATGTCAGCTTTGCTAGGGTATGTTAATAAGTTGTTATTCTCCTGAGGCGATGAAGGCATAGTTATCATAATATTCATAGTTACACTATGAAATTACAATGCCAAAGCATCCTAAATCTCCATATTTACACCATAGAGGCAGCATTAATTACCATACGTTTATAAAAATGAACTGAAAAATTTTGGAGGAAGTAAGGTATCCCTTTTCTATCCTGACAAATCTTTTCCCATAACTTCATCTTATGTAGATGTCACATAGTAAGTAAGTTCCTTTGTAGTGGTTGAGCAAGTTTAATACTGTTGATACTCATGTTAGCCCATATTCAATGCATCATAAAAGTGATGGTGCAGCACTAGAGGTAATTTACCATTATTGGTTATGGCGTTATCATTATTCATAACAGGTAACATGGCCAATATAATTCCTCATAAGGCTCACAGGCATGGCGAAAACTAATTTAGCATTATACTGACTTAATACTTGGCCCATACAACACCAGACCTCAAAGTAAAAAACCCAGAAAACTCTAAAAATTCGCCACCCTCTTTAAAAATGGTGAGAAAGGCTTTTTGATATCTTGCGCTTTGCTTCCACAAAAGCATTATAAATAATGTCTTTGGCACTAGCTTAAGACATTGTGGCTTTGCTTATTAATTTTTTTTAAATTTTGGTTATTGGTTTAACAAAAAAGGGTTGCCAGTATGGACCAGTCATCCACATTCTACATAGGGATTTTGGAACAGCTGCTTAAAGGTGTATATGTTACCCTTCTTATAAAATTTAGGCATGTTAATAGGGTTATTTTAGTTATATCTACTATGCTCCAGTTTCCATTAGGGAGAGACAAACCTGATGAGATTTTTTATTAACAGTGCAGGGGTTACAATTGACCAATGTTGAGGGCGCCATGGTATTTCATGTATGAGTTGTTGGGGAAGCGCTAATTATAGGTTTGGATGCAACCTGATATGGTGTTTTTTAGCATATTGGTAAGGTCAGAAATACTTGAAGTGGAGATTAAGTATATGCTGTAGACAAGTTGGGTACAAAAAACGCATTTTTGACTTTGGTTTTTGACTTATACAGAGGTATATGGAGCAGGTAAAGATCTGTCCAAGTGACAATTATACTCATGGCCTTGTATCCAGTACTAGAGTCATCCTTGATTCCTTACAAACTTGTTATAACAGGATAGTATGTGGCGGCGCTCCACCTCATATCTTTAGTTCAGCTTTTAGAGATTCAGATTAGAATTAAATAGTAAAGACATTAAATTCTGTAGTTTTTTGTCCTTGGAAGTGGACTAAGCTATGCAGGAGTTAATCTCCTATAAGAGGTCAGAGAGGTAATGTACTGATAACAGTATATTATGATGAAGGCTATCAAGGCGACAGCAGTTGTCCTCATTAATTTGTGCTATCCTGGTAGCTCAAAAATTAATTGTAATAAAGATATTGAGAGTTGGACAAGGGGCCATACATCTTGTCACTCAGATAAAGATGATTTAGGGCATAATACTTATGTACCTTGGGGTCATCCATTTCAGATACATGTCAATGTGGTCCATAGTTCAGGAGTAATTGTACAAGGCTGCAGTAAACACCCATTTTAGTTAGCACTAAATGTTGAACTTGGAACTTTAGCAGCATATTTCAAATGCACAGGTTATTTTTTATTTGTAAAAAAATTCTGTTTTAGGACAAAATCTGAAAAAAGGAAGTAAACCTTAAGTTGTCATGTCAAGTTTTCACTATAAATAGCAACAATCTGTAGAGTCTCAGTTCTGCCAGTGGCTTCAGGTCTTGCTGGTGGTGATGCCACTTCAGTAGTGATAGGTTTCTGTAACAAAAAATAGTTTTTGCTCCTAAAAATGCCAATCTATTTATTATGAATCTACAAAATTTTCAGGTTTTTATTAAATCCAGATATCTAGTAACTATCCTTTACTTGGGAATCTGTATCATTTGCATAAATATTCCAGAATTACAGAGAAACTAAGGGTAATAACGAGACACCATAAATGTTTAAAGATAGTAATATTAAATTGTATAAATATGGACTTAAGCTGACATGGGGAAAGGTACTGATAAAAAAATAATTTATACAATTTTAATCAGATGTCAGGCCAAAGTTTTTTGGTAATAATTAATGAGTGTGGTTTAGTGCAAGTGGGCTAACAAGGAATCTATCATAACTTTGATAACATCTATAATTAGTGATGGTGCCCAATAAACATGGTTTACTGTGGCAACTTAAGTTTAGTGGATTAGCTTGTCACACTTGTACTAATATCAGTTATGTCATTTGTGTTTTTAACGCAGCTTGCTAGGTAACTTAGCTCTCAGAGCTCAAAGAAACTCCCATTGGTGCATAATTTTGGACCTTTTTGGTTATATCTATCTTTTGTTAGATCAAACGGGTTTTTGATGTTATGGCATAGTGTTATTATTGTGATTCTATAGAGTGTGTCCACATCTGTGAAGGTAGATTTTTCAACTACTAGTATAAAAGCTTCCTGAAAAAAACCCAATAGAACCACCTCTTTGTACTCTTTATGCTTTTTAAGCCATATCTCTTATCCAGTTTTGTAAATCAATAAAACTCATTGTCAGTCATACCTCATGTGTTTGCTTTTTAGCTTAGCTGAGCCCTTATGGTGTTTAGCTTATGTAGCGGTATTTTCCCTATTACACAGCATCAGTACAAAGAAAATTAATATAATACTCAGCTTTATTTATTTTATATAAAATAATTAGTTAACTACTTTAATACTATTATTTTAATATATATCTCAACAATCAACGTGTTCATCATGGTCACAAACTGCTTTTGTAAGCCACTACAGTTATAGAGCGCAACCATGATTTGTGGCCTATTTTTCAGCCTTCTCAGCACTTCATACCCAATGATCATGGGTTTAGTCTGGTGGTGCTGTCAATTAGTGAACATTGTCATAGGGAAAAACTTGTTGGTCTCTACCTCCAAACATTATTATGAAATCTCTCTTCCAAAGTTAGAAACATGGAATGCAGTGGCGGCAGCATTAAGTATTTCTCTACTGATGTCATGCCTACAATAACTTATATGCCACAGTTTATTGAGCCCTAGAAGTTTATTTTCAATGTGGAAGGCGCCAATTGTCAACCAAGCCACTCTAAGTTTTTTTCTGAGCATCATTTAAAATGACCTTATCAAAATCAATTGATTATAATATCTCTATATGGTTAAGAAGGATAAAGCTTTTATGGCGTGATTGATGACATGACGGCAAGGGGGTTCATATTTTAAAAGTCCTCTCTCTTCTCATATATAGTAGTTTTTGCTTAAAAAAACTGCTGCTACTATGATATCTTTTGTGGTCTATGGGCACTTGAATAATGTCAAAGTCCCAGATCATCCTTACCCTAGATGCTGATACTGAAAAAAACAATTTTAATATTCAATTCGTTTAAAAACATGATCTGATAATATTTAATTAAAAATGTGGGTGAAGCTTTGCCCTTAAATGGCTGATGGCGATATGGACTAGGTATGGAATTTAACAGTTTTAATCAATGCTTTGTATTAAAGAAAGAGCCAGCAGTTTTGAAATGCCTCAATGATAACGCTTTTTTATCTCTTACGTTTACCTGTGCTGTTGCTTACTGATAACATCTGAATCTAATTTAATGCAGAGAAACACGCCAAGCTTTTGCTGTCTGTGGCTGAAGTACTTTATAAAGCTAGCCTGTTTGATAAAGCCTTTCAAATTTGGACTCTACAAGAATTAAGTTCAGCTATTTAGGAATTTGTAATTAATTATGCTAACATCTTACCTCCTTCAAAGTTGAAATTTGTCCACTTTTGATCACTCCTGTAACTCAGTAACAATTTTACAGTTTTTTTCGTACATCACCTTCTTAAAAATTCTAGTTAGCCATCCCTGATATTACATCAACCTTACATATCCACTAACTGGCAACTGCACCATAATTGGAGCCATGTATGCCAACTCTCTTAAATAAAATAAATGGATTCTCACTAATGCTCATGTTCTTTGTCATGCTGATAAAATCAAGCCCTTTATTGTGGCTTGTGACGACTCTGACACAGCTGTGGGCTGGTACTGTTACAAGATTACAATTGGTGGGAAGACCCAGTGGCTAATCTTTCACGAGATTTTAGTGTAATGGAGCGTGCATGGGACCTTTATGATACATATTGGCTGCCACTTCTTGTATTTTTGCACTGAAGTTATAATTTACAGGGAGCCAAACATACCTTAGTTGTTACACTGACTACTATCAAAAATTACTATTACAATCCACAAAAGATGGAGCATATTCAGGCCAGGTCTCATTGAAACCTCATTAGCTTTAATTCAAGATATTTGTTCAATAAGGAGTCCACCTAAATCTTCTTATATAACCTTAGCCGCAAAAATAATGGACTTTGACGTTAAAAAGGCTTTGATTAGGTCACTGTAATCCCAATTAG